TCTTCCTCCACTTTATATGGGATGCCGCCACAGCATGGCCTGACAAGTGGTGCCTCGGTGTGCGCCCACAATCGGAACCCAGACCACCAGCAGCAGAGCGTGCACACTTAACCACTACACCACGGGGCTGGCCCCTACTTACAGATAATTTGAAGAGCATGGTATTGTTTCATAATGCAGAAAATGTGGGTCATTTGTGGTTTTATTTGCTCTTCTTATATATTTTATGGTATTTAGGGGGAAGATATGAAGGTGATTCAAAATCAGGCAGTGCACTAAATCTCACTGCCCCTCCTCCCTGGTTTTTCTTGAATCTCATCAGGTTTTGTTTGTCCTTGACGTCACTGAACAGTTCCGGTTCATTTTTAACTTTGCTACATTTGCTTAGAGAAGTGGAGTAAAAAAGACTCATTGCTTTGCTCTCTCCATCTCTTCTTTTCATTTAGTGGTTTTTAACGAGGGTGCACACTAGAATCACTTATGAGGGCTTTAAAAAAAATACACATGCCTAGACCCTACTCCTGGAGATGGAGAAATAGTGCATGAGAGAGAGGCCCCAGCCTGTTTTTGAAAGCTTCCCACTAATTCTGTGCACATCTGGGGCTAGTTTCACGCACTCTGCCTGACTTTTATAGATGAAACAGTATTGGAAATTTGCCTTTTTTTTTTTTTTTTGAGGAAGATTAGCCCTGCGCTAACATCTGTTGCTGGTCTTCCTCTTTTACTTTTTTCTCTCCAAAGCCCCAGTACCTAGTTGTATATCATAGTTGTAGAGTTGTAGCTCTTCTTTGTGGGCCACCGCCTCAGCACGGCTTGATGGGCAGTGAGTAGGTCCATGCCCGGGATCTGAACTGGTGAACCCCGAGCCACTGATGCGCAACACACTATGCCACTGGGCTGGCCCCTTGGAAATTTGCCATTTTTCTTTTAAGCAGAGATGGGAAATAAATTTCACCTCGGAGTTAGAGGAGTCTGCCTAGAGCCCTGTGTTAAAGAGGATTCTGAGGCTTATCAGGGAAAAGTAGTAAGGGCACATGTGCCAAGCCTTTGCTGTCCTTGCTTTACAGCAGTGATCCCCAACCAGCCATGTACATCCGGATGCCCCATGTAGTTGTATCAAACTCCACCCCAGACCTGTGACGTCAGAGTCTCCCAGACGGGAGCCAGGGCACATGTATTTTATTACTACCACATTAATCTGATTGTTGAAGCTAGGACCATGGGTAACAGCTCATTGTGGATATTTTGTTAGGAACCAGGATTGAGTCAGAGTGAGAATAATGCCCAAAAGCCTGTCTTGGCAGAGCCAGGTGGGGAGCAGTACTAAGCTGTCTGGTATGCTGGAAGAACATTTGGAGCTGCTGCTGATTCACTGAACTATTCATGCTGAATTAATGTTGGGTAATGTCTATGACAGTGGTTCTCAAACTCAAGTTTTCATCATCAGAGTCACCTGGAGGCTTGTTAAATTACCGATTGCTGGGCCTCACCCCCAGTCTCTAATTCAGTAGGTCTAGGTATGGCCTGAGAATTTGCATTTCTAAAAAGTTCCCAGTTGGTACTAATGGTCCTGGGACCACATTTTGGATACCACTGGTTTATGAGTTGTAGCTAAAAATTGGTAATGATCATGAATTGTGAATTCTTTCACTGTTGAGTCAAAGCTTTAGAATAGCATTAGAATATATTCAGATAGCATAGTTCAGAGGAAGATATTGAGTTGAAACACGTAAGATACTGATTGCTTGGCTAGGGGAATAGCCAGAGGCTGGACAGGACAGTTAGAACAAGGGACAGTTGGAGACATGAGTGGCCGCAAAGCCTCTTAGCTACCATGTCACAGCCCTAGCTCAGTGGGAAGTCAGAGAAGATCCTGACCCTGGCTTCCACTTTTGCACTACTTGCTTCTTCTGTCTGGAATACTTTTCTTGGCTCTTTGTCTGGCTGGTTCCTTCCCATCACTTAGGTCTCAGCTCAGACAGTTCCCCTCCAGAAGCCTCCTCCAAAACTTCCTGACACATCAGAAAGGTCAAATATCCCTACTATGTATGTGTTGGGTTATTTGTTTGTCTCCCCACATAAGAAAGCAATCTTGAAGGTGGGGCTCTTTCTGCCTTATCCTTCACTGGGTTCCCAGTGCCTGGTGCAGATTAGGCCTGGAGTAAAATTTTGTGTATGAATAAATAAATGATATTGGTCACAGACCTTGCTTGAGGGGTTTTATGAATTATGAAGTCTTTGTGCATTGGAGTTTGATACTGATGCTGCTTCTTTAATTTTTTTCCCTCATAGCTTGTTATGGAAAGCAACCATTGTACTCAGTAGAGGAGTATCAGTTCAGTATCGCTACTTCAAAGGGTGCTTTTTGGAACCAAAGGTATGTTTTCTTTATCTAGTTTCCAGTTTCTTTAGCAAACTCACTTCTTTCAAAAGCAACTAACTTAGGTTTGAAAACATTAAAAGTAAAATAAGTTTGTTTTGATTGAATAAGGAAAATAGAACTCTAGGTTGATAACATTTTAGTACCAAAAAGCGTGGAAGTAGCCACTTCAGAGGCAGACAGTGTCTGCAATGGAATTTTTAAAAGACCAATAGTAAGTATGTTCTGCAATATTCTATCATGAAATTGGTTTTAATGATAAACATTCTCAATAGGGGTGCATTTTCTGTAACTTATGTAAACTAGTAACTAGTTGCAAGGGTTTCTCTTTTTGTTTCATGTTTAATCCTTATGTGGTATAAATACGTTTAGAGGAATATATAGCCAGCTTTAAGTGAGTAATTGTTTTTAAAAATTATTTCACTGCTGCCATCTCTTAGTGGCTGCGTTGTGTAACTCCTGTCAAAACTGAAGTTATTCGTCTTAGATTTTTTTCAACAATGGTGTTGATAGACCAAGATCTTTTCTGAAGGCCTTTGGAGTATCTATTAAATCTAAATCTGCTTGCTCACAGCGATTTACTATTTGGGGATTATTTTCATATTTAGAAAAGAAAAAACGTTGATTCTTTCCCTCTTCTTTTAAAGACGCTTATTTACTGAAAGGATTCTCGTCCTTCAGATTTTTACGTTTGAGCACACTTAGGCTGCATGTGGACAAGGGCTTAGGCAGGAGTCTAGGAAGCAAAACATGGATTAGACCTTTTTAAAAATTTATCTCCGTTTGGGGTCATTGAATACTTATTACATGTGAAAAATGCAAGCAGCCACTGTTACCTCATTCTCTTAGCCACCATTATAACAGAAAAAACTGACAAACCCACTTCAGCTGTCTTTTGCACTTATTACGTTTCTTAATCCAAGAATATGTTGTAAATATTCAGTAATTAAACTTAAATTACATTATGGTTGATCATTGTGTTGGCTTATCTTGACAATAGTCTCACTTTTTAATGACTTTAAGATCATTTATTTGGCGTAGAGGTTATGCATTTGTGGAAAGTTTTTCAGTATAAATTGAACAGTTGTGCATAGATATGTAGGTCATAGCACTCATGATATCGAAAGCTTATATGAGGATTCTGGTATGTGAACTTGAGCTTTGTAACATGTGAAGTCAACTAAATTTTACTTAGAGGGGAATTCGGACAAGAAAAATCATGAGTCCTTTGGGCATAGTTTTCTAAAGTAAGACTATTGTCAACACGGGTCAAATTAAGCCAACCTATAGTATTTTTCCTCTTCATTGAAAGTGTAACCAAAAGCAGCAAATCAGTCCAAAATGCCTTTTTTGAAAAAATTGGCAAGAAGTCTGCTTACAGTAAAGAACAAGTTTTTCCCCTTGTAATACTTGCAAAAGTTTACAGTATGTGTTGGTGAGTGTGTTTCTTTAAGTAGGTGCTCTGTATCGTGTACACATGTACCGTGTGATGCAGGGGCTGCCATGGTAAGTATGTTTTTCATGGAATAGAGTAAATAGCTACATAAAATCCCATATGACTAGAGGTTTTGTTCCCCCCCCCCCCACATGCCAGCTTAAAGTAACACTTCTTTTCTTTTAAAAGTTGGTGGCGCTTTTTAAATGGAACAATTTTTAATAGAAATAATTATGAAACTTTGTCTCAATTGTGCATTGTCAAATGATAGAACTAATGTGCGAGGAATCTTTAATTGTGAAATGATACAAATTATTGAAATATATATTTATGATTATGAAGAGTGATAGAAAAGCAAAGTAATTATGAAAGCGTTGAAAAGCTGAACTGGGTAATAAGATTAATTTTACTGGGCCAGAAGTTTTAGGAGTAGTCAACCCAAGCGCTTGTAGAGCCTGAGCTGAAAATCTTGTGATCTTGTCACTTGCCCTTCAGACTTCAGCTTTCTCATCTAAAAAGTGAGGAGTTTGAACTATAGATTTAGCAGGTCCCTTCCATTGCTAAAATTTTACATTCATATTTTCTCTTCCATATTTTCTTTTTCTGGCATATTCCTTCTAGTTTAGAAGTTAAGAGTCTTGAGGTCCCTTTTCTCTTAATTTTTCAGAGCTACGTGTTCTCTTATACTTTGTAGAATTAGAATAAAGGTGTTAATATGTTGGATTTTAAAATACTTTTACAGGTGACAAATCAAAGTATTATTTAAACATAGCAAACAAAGATCATAGATATTCCTGGATATTCCTGGATTAATGTGAGTCTGCAGATAGTCCTTTAATTTCACATCTTCACCAAAGATAATTTTTTAATTAATATGTAGTTTAAACATTTTTTAAATTCATGTCCACCCCTCTTTACTTGTGGCTGGAATTAGGGATGTTACTTCATAATGAAGTGTTAGCCAATTTTTAATTATGTTATCTTTGAAATTTTTCCTTCATTTCAATGGAAATAGCCCCTTGTTTTTCAGTAATATATCGGTTTCTAATTTTTGTAGGTGTTAACATTCACTCATAATTAGATTCATTACAGACTCTTTTACTTTGTAAATTACTTTTTAATCTCCCTTGATTTTCATTTAAATCCTTAAACAAAAGAACCAGTCATCTGTGACAGGCAGATAATGGTTTATTTTCAGAATAGCCCAGGTTGTCATTTTGTACAATGGTTTCTTAATACAGTAAAATTCTTCTGGAGGCCAAATACCCTCAGCTGTTAACTTCGAATTTGAACCATCTACGAGATGTCTAATGGCCTTGATTTCTTTACTTTACTCATTCCTAGGTGACCATTTGTCACATTCGTCTTATTAAAAATAGTGATTTTTAAATAACTGTGTGGCCTCTGACATCATAGATAAAAATTCCTCAGAACCCCTTTTACAAGCACATTTTTTTTTTCAAAGTTGTGGAAAGAAAACAATCAGCAAAAATTTAAAAGTTCACATTTACATTTTTCATGATATTTGAAAGCAGTCATATTACATGACTAGCTGATAATTTTGCTTGGTGGTTTGTTTAAAAAAAAAACCTAGTCTATGTGTTGAGTAATCCTGTTTATTTCTCTCAGTGCTTGATGTAGCTGAGCAATGTCAATAACTGTTTAAGAAAGCAATCATTGTGACTGGGTTTTTTTGGTTTCCCTTTTTTTATGAAAACAGATTTTTTTGTGTATTTTTGTTAATACATTCCAGCAATCATATGATTTAATATATGCTGAATTGTGAAATAACTTTACAGTACTGCTAATGGAATACTATCTTATACTGATATTGTTACTTTTTTCTCCGAATCCACCTTCCACTTGACTCCAAAATGCTTAAAATTGTGGCAGTCTTTTACAGAAAGGAACTATTCTTTTTTTCTAGGATCTTGAAGAATGAATTATTACATTTAGCATATTAAAAAGGATTGCATGTTTTGGAGTCACCACTGAGATTTTTAATTTCCCAACGCTCAAGTTTTAAATTTTTTTTTTTTTAAAGAACTTCAGTAAGCTAAAATTTAAGATTACATTCTAAAGTTTAAGTAAGTAGCCATAACAATTTTGAAAGTTCACTGTATTTTAAAACTTGGTTCATTTTTTTTTAACGTTATAACGCTTTGTGTACCAACCAACATGGATTTGTAGTGTGAACGCTAATTTAAGACACAATTTTTTTTTTTTTTTTTTTTTTTTTTTTTTGTGAGGAGATCAGCCCTGTGCTAACATCCGCCAATCCTCCTCTTTTTTTGCTGAGGAAGACTGGCCCTGGGCTAACATCCATGCCCATCTTCCTCCACTTTATATGGGACGCCGCCACAGTATGGCTTGCCAAGCAGTGCATCGATGGGCGCCCAGGATCCAAACTGGCGAACCCCAGGCCGCCATAGCGGAGCTTGCACACTTAACCGCTTGCGCCACCGGGCTGTCCTCTAAGACACAATTTTAAGTCATCAGTTGAACCATCCCTTTGGACTGCTCCTCACATACTCCATTCTGTTCAAGCCTGGGTTTCATGCTGTGAGTGGTGGGTTTGTTAGTAAAGCAGATGAAGGTGGAGTTATTAAAATTACACTAAAATATGTTGCCTATCAAATATTTAATCCACAGAGCTATTCTTACATGATTAAGTATAGACGCTGCAGTCAACACTTTGTAAAGTTCCCCTGACACCTGAATTAAAACAAGAATGAAAACAAACTCTTTCCTTTCCTCTACCCACTTTTTATCCCTGCTGACATTTACTGTTATATTCATGGAACCCTTTCAAGTCACCTCTGATTAGTAACTTTTATAAGAATATAGATTCATGTCATCTTGGTAGTGAAGAGTATTTTTTTGGGCAGGGGGAGAAATGCAGAGAACTTGGGAGGAGTAGAGGAAGGAAATAGATTAGTTCTTTCTGGCTGCTTATTATTGCTACAAAACATTCCTAGCATTTTATTTCATCTATTTTTTTATATATAATTATGGTATATTTATTTTTGAAATCTTACAAGAGTTTCAACTTACTGCATTTAAAGGAAGGTATGGGGTTTAACACTGTGGTCTTCTGTGGCGTAACTTTGCTCACAACTTTGTAGATTTCATTAAAATCTTCTCCAACACACAGATTATACCATCAATTTCTGTGCTAAAAAAGAAACAAGAAACATTGTTCCTATTTTTAATGTATACATTTGCATCTGTCAAGGATTAGAGAGCTCGATGTTTAAACAATAAATTCAGAAGAATGTGACAGGAAAAAGTTGTAGTAAAAGACATCTGGCAGGTGTAGAATTAAATGTGTCTTCTTTTTTATTGTAATGGAAATGAAATTCATATTTTAAGATGAGCAATTTCACATTTACATTTTTTTAAACATTTTCCCAGTCTAACAATTTATAAATGAACTCTTATAAGAAGGAGGTATTCAACTAGAGAAAATGAGCAATTCCTGTATTATCCCAGGATTAATAATTTGAATGAATAATGTTATTTTAGTTTTCAAACTTCAAAAGTTTGCAGATTTTAAAAAAGATTCTAACCTTTGGTTATTTTAAGTGGCAGAGTTATCTCTTGTGTTTAATTACTTAATGTACCTAATTTGTCACATACATATTTTTTATCATTTGGCACATTTATTATTAAATATAATCATTATTGAAATCCTGTAAAATGTTATAGACGAGTATTTAATGCCATCTAAAGATGTATAATATATAGAAATAAGCTTAAATGTTCCAGAGTTTTTAAGCGTATATGTAATATATGCCTAGAAAAGGGCTTGAAGATGATGTATGAAAATGTTGATAGTGATTATCTCTAAGTGGTGTGATAATGGGTGATTTTTGTTTTTTCTTTTTGCTTCTCTGTATTTTACTCAACTTCTTCAGAAGACATGTAGAGAAGAAAAAATTAAAATACCTCGTAAGGTTACAGTTTGAAATTTTGCTTTAAAAATATGTATTTAAGGGTTTTATTTTGGCACATAAATTTAGTCAAGTTTTTATTTTTTTTTTGAAATTAAAGGAAAACTAGGAAGCACTTAATACTTCAGTCCTTTAGGTATACGCAGGGACTCTCTGTTGGTAGTTCATTCTTGTTTTTAAATTGCTGTACACGTTATCAACAGAACATAAAGCTCTATTTTCTTTTTTAGTTAGAGGACTTGACAACAGAAGACAATATTAGAAATTGTCACAGTGTATGAATTTATAAGCTCTAAAGCATAAGAGTAAAACTGGATGTTAGTCCCATTTTATCAAACTTGTTCTTCAAATTTACCCATGCATATGTCCTTTCTTTTAGGGTTTCCTGTACTCTTTAGAAACACTGGTTATTATGATATGAGAAATCTGATGTTCTTCCTGTTAGCTACGTAACTATTCTTAAAGAACTTTATTATACCCTCCAGTTCCTTGAGTAACTTGTGATAATTGATCTTGAAGTACTTGTTCCTACTCTTCTTACTATCATAAAGTTTAGGCTTTTTCCAAACTCTTGGAGAGTACTTAAGATGGATCCTTTATCCAGTAATACCTCATTGACTGCTGACATAACATAAAGTGTATTTGGTGTTAACTTTAACTTAGGACAGAATATCAGCTAAAGATTAAAATTTCTTTGAAAAGAATTAAGTATTGTAGGCAGATTTAAGAATGGATTGAAGATGGTTTTGTGTGCCAGTTCATCTCATTTTCTTTGTTTACTGCCTCACTCTCATTTTCTTCCAGCACTCGTCATGTTTTGTGACCTGGTACATTTCCTGATTTTTGGCATATAATATTGATAATTAACAAGTGAATCTCTTGGTTTCATATTTAGTATAAGACTTAGGCCACAAACATTTAATGGAATCATGGGTAGCAAATAAGATATAAGAAATTATTGCAGACGTTTAACTTTTAAATTGCAGACTATCGGTGGTCCATGTCAAGTCATAGTTCACAAGTGGGAGACTCATCTACAACCACGATCAATAACCCCTTTAGGTATGGGCCTTAACTGCATCTGTTTGAGGCATATGCATAAAGTTACTAATATGCTGCACAATGGCTTAGTGGGATTTAATACATTTTTATTCTAAAGTTTAAGGTCAATGCATTGTCAGTATTACAAATTTCACTTAGCATATCATAGATCTTACTTCCAAAACTAAACAGTTCTTAATTGCCTTTCTTTATAAACTATTAGAAATGCTTGCCTAGTTATTTTTATTTTCGTGGGTTAGATTAAATTATTGTGGAATATTTATTTTCATTTGGAGTAGTTACAAAGCTTATAAAATAACATTCTTTTTGACTGAGCATCAATGGCATTATTTGATTACTTGCTCAGAGAACTTAAGAGAACATTTGAGGAAAGAATTAATCTAAAACAAAGATTCTTAAATTTTTAACATTGTATAGTAAGAGTAATAGAACATTCTGTTTATTCTGTGTGTTTTTTTAAACTAGTAAATACTTGAGTAAACTTGTATGAATGAATTCAAATTTCTTGGTTATAGTAGACATATTTTCCTCCTAATTTACTTAAATACCCTGCTGGCTATGTTAAAATTGATATTCAGATAGGTTTTTTTTTTTTTTTTTTTTTTTTAAATGTTATTGAGTTTTCTTGTGCCTAAAAATGACATTTCTCTTCATACAAGTATTTTTTAATTTTCTTTTCCCTATACTGAGATTAAAATTTGAAGTTCATTTCACTTACATTAAATTACGCACTAGATTCATCTGTAAATTGACTCAATGCTGAGAAATGTATCTTTTACTTTCTAGAGAAAATTAGAATTTAAAGATAATAAATATCTTGCTAGTTACCAGCTTAGATTAGAAAGTAGTGAGAAATTCTGCTTTACCCTGTAGCAAGGACACATCTCCTTTAAACAGATATCTCATTCCATCCTCTTTATTGGATTTTCTTTTTATATGTTTTAATACATTTTTGGTAGTGTATTTAGAATTTTTATGGTAGTGTACTTTAGAGTTATAATAGTCCTATTCTGAAGTTGGAAATTATTAGATATTAAACATTTAAAAAATAATTTGCATTTTGAAGCATCGTGCAGTTAAATATGTTTTCTTATTGTGAGAAGTGGGATGATTTTGTTTCTGGTCTTTTAAAAAGAAATTTCTTTTATACTTTTGGAAAATATAACTTAACTAAACTTAAGAGCTGTGTGAAATCTACCGGAGAATCTTTATTGGGAACTGTCACACTTATTTTGACAAATATTTTAGACTTACGTTTAAAGTAAACTGGGCAAGGAAGTAGTAGGGAAGATACTTAGTATTTTACTCAGAGAGTGGGGCTTAACAGCTTTTCTTCAGTTGACGTTTCTGTTAGAAGGGAATGTGCTAGCCCTTACTCTTTTGGTAGTTCTCACAGCTCTGTATATACAGGTAAGTTTACGCTATTTGTAAAGCTGTTAGCTGGCTGTAGAGAATAGTTGGGATTCAAGGAGAATTACATTTTAGATAAGTTCAGAATATGCACTGCATAAGAATAAGCATTTTAATTGTGCCAAGACCTTTGGTTTGAAAAATCAACCGGGAGATACTGTTGTCCAGCAGCCTGTCAGTCTCACACATTGGTAGGTGTAGAAATTTGTCCTGTGCCTCTAGAGCCCTGTTTCTGAGGAGTTTTCTCTCTCTTCATTGTAACATCGTGAATAATCACCAAGTATGTAAGAACTATTACTGTTTGATAGCCCCCTTAAAAGGGAATTCTTTATTGAGGGCTACAATAAATATGCTTATTCACTTTGGGCTGCTTTTAAATTTTAGATTTAATATTTTTAAAAAATCTTTAAGGTGGGTAATTTCTCAGTTCATTCTGTGTACATCATGAATTTTAACTAGGTTGTCTATTTTCCTTCAATTCTAGAAAGTGAAATTATTATTGACGATGGACAATTTGGAATTCACAGTAAGTGAGACTGAGTTTTGAAAATCTTTACTGATAACGGTTGCGATGTTACCTTGCATTTCATTAGAAACAGCACAGGGAAATATGACAGAGTATGATATTGAAAATAGAGACTAGATCACCAAGAAACAAATACATTCTGTTAAATAATAGTTTCCAATGTAATTCTTATGCTTTAAAATTGTATCCTTTTGGTTTTTATTTGTTGATTTCAGGTATATGAATTAATATAATTAATTTAAAAGTATTATACTTAATTGTTAATGTATCATCACTTTTTAATGCTGTTATGCTTGAAAATGATATTAATGGTTCTAAACATTTGAAGTGTGAAACGTTACTCTTAAGCTAAGTTGGTACATTTTGTGGGTTTGTGTATGCGTTTATAGTAAAATCCAGAGTAAGCAGAATGTTCTAGTAATTCTGGCTGAGTCTTTAATTTACAATAGAGTAGAAAATCCTTTTACTTCTGAATATGTTGAAAATATTATGCATTTGTCTACTTTTCTGCTTCAGTAGATACGTTGTCTTGAGGCTTTAAGTTTTCTTCGATGACTTGAATTCTCACAGTGTATCAGTGTTATCATGCAGTTTTAAACTGCATTTTCAGTTTAGATACTATACTGTAGGAGTCAGAAGGTGTAAAGGGGGTGGGCAGAATGTGTGCTTGAACTGACTGTGCAAGCTGCTGAGATAAACTGCTGATATCCAGTTTGCCTTCCTGTCGAGTACAGGAAGGAACAGGGCCTGTATGTTTTGGTTGTGGTTTTACTAGCTATGTATGTTTATGTACTTTAGAAATGTACATGCCTTGGCAGTTTTTGGATAGGAGTTTAACTTCTTTTCCTTGATTTTGTTTGGGATTATTTATATTACATCATAAGGTAGTCTAAAATACTTGAATAGCTTTAGTGTTTAGTGTTTTAGAGTCTTGTCTTTATTTACAAGAGATGATATTTGTGCTATATGTTTCGGAGAGCTTTCTTTATGGAGGAGTAGTGTTCCTATTTCTTCAACTGTAATGCATGACATTGTATCCCTCTATTATATGTTAATTATTATTTGTTAATTACTGTGTATGGCTACAAATGCATGGCATTTCTTTCCTCGTTTTTTGTTGTTGTCCTAAATTCAGCTTTAGTTAGCTTTCAGTATGGAAAGCCATTTCTCTGATTTTGTCCATTTCTGAAAACAGTTTAAAATTAAGAGATGATAGTGGTTTCTCTTTATTTTTAAAATTTGATAGTTATTAAACGTTTTTAAGTTAAATCTAAGGAGAAGAGTTTCTTGATTTTTCTTTTTTTAAATCTTGTTGATGAAAAACAGGTTCAAAACAGTTGACAGCTCTCTGATATTTATGAAAATTTTATTACCTATGCCAGTAGGAACCTTCAAGTTAAACAGTGCTAACACAGTGTTATTATAATCATGCAGTTTATTTATAGCAGAATATATAAATGTGAGAATACAGAACTGGCTCATAGTTTTGTTCTTGCCTTCTCATATCTCAACCCCTAGCACTAGTGGTATAACTGGTTTCAGCTGAATTATCTCATATAAAGCTTTGGAAGTATAGTAGTGATCCCCAGTAAAACAACTGCTATGTTAGAAGACATCTTGGAACGTGTATTCTTTCTGAAATAGATTTCTATTACTTCAGTAATATATTCAGTGAGAATATTTTAATTTACTTAAGTTGTTAAAGTATGGCTAATTGTTAACATTCATTTAACTTTTTTCCTCTTACTTCATATAAAAGTTCTTTTTCAATGACAAATTTAAGACTGTGTATTGGCTTTGGAAAAAAGTACCAGTGGTATATAACCTGAGTCTATTAAAATGTGAATGTGAACTAGAATTGTCAATATGTATTGTACTTACTGGATTGTTTCAAACATATGTATAGTAATTACTGTTTTCATATTTACTCTCCCAGATGGTGTTGAGACTCTGGATTCTGGATGGCTGACGTGTCAGACTGAAATAAGATTACGTTTGCATTATTCTGAAAAACCTCCTGTGTCAATAACCAAGAAAAAATTTAAAAAATCTAGATTTAGGTATGACCATGTGTATTCATTACTTAAGGCCATTTATTTTCACTAATGCTATAGATTTCTGACCCATTTGGTCTTAGCTGTTAAGTGTATAAACTAAGAAAATAACACACCTATAGATAATGTCACATTTTCTAATAACTACAAGGTCTTGTGATAGTGAACTGCTTCCCTGCCTCAGATTGCTACAGTTACGTGTACTTCTGTTAGTCTTAATTTCTAAGTTGAAACCAGAAAAATTTGTTTTTCTGTAGATAAGTGATTTCCAAGCTTATGTATCTTTGTAGTTCCTACCATTTAAAATTGCTTTGTGTAGCAATAAATAGTTTGTTTTAAAATTGGTGTATTGAAAATGATTTTGTGCTAAACGATGGGAGAATGGCATAAACAGAGAAAAATGATTGTTGGAAATATTCTTCAGTGTCCTAAACTTTCCTGTGGCTTGAAAACAAGAAACCTTTCTATGAAGAAAGGTAGCAGTTATCATAGCAGTTCCAGATTAGTTTCTTTTTAATCCTATATTAATTTAAGAAATAGATGTCAAGCTTTGTGTAAATAGCTAAATAGTAACTTTATTTTTCTGTAATATTATCATATATACCGTTAAGTGAGCTAGCTTCTCAGTAACCCAGGCAGCCCTATCATTTGAATTTTTGTAACTTTGGGACTGAGAGTTCTAAGTCCTGGTATGTAATACAGCCATTTCTGACAGAATGTCAGGATTGGGTTGAAAGGGCTATTTTCAGTAACTGAAGCAATTAATAATACTTATTATCTTCCTAATAAAATTCATAATGATATTGCAATTTATAAATCCATAAATGTTTTAGAATAACTGCTTAAATATTATAGTACTTACTTATCCCAATCATAAAATATATAAGGGAAAGGATGGATTACACTTCACAGTCCTTTGCATTTCCTGTTCTGAGAGTAAGTACAGAGTTTGGGGTGTCCCATGTCTCTGTGCATTAGCTTTTCTAGGCCTCTGCTTTGCTTCTGAAAAACCAAGGTAATTGGACCACATGCTTGATTGGCAAGATCCATTTGACCAAAGAGATTCTCTAACCAGTTAGTCATGCATTATTGAATATTTTATATACGTGTTAAAAGAAGCAAATAAATTGTTAGAGCTATAAAGTGTCTTTTTAGCATAAGACCTTGAAATAAAGATAGCAGAAGATAAAGCCTTAGTTGGTTGGACTTATTAGGGTTTTTTTCCTTGACTGTAGTTAAAAAATTAATAGATAATTAATGGTTGGGGTTCTGATTGGATCGCAAATGCATATTGAGTCCTATACCCTTCTTGTTTCTATGGAAATTATTTTGAGTGTTTGTATATATTATTGTGTTGTTTAGGCTTAAGTTGAAGTATTTTTGTATAACCATACTTAGTTGGGCTCTACAAATTATGTAACTGATTCCTTTTGAAATAATTCTGCATAGCTAGATATTGGTGTTTGTTCTGACCATTTTTTTCCCCCTAAATTGATATTAGTGATAGAACTTAACTTTCATGGGGGAGGAAATAAATTTATTTGCAAGGATATCAGGACTTTAAAAACTTTAGCAATAGCTTATGCATTTTAAATAAAACATTACACGTGCTGATCTATCTCATTACCACCAAGTTTTAAACACAAGTTTCTCTTTCAATTAACTCCACCAATAAGTGGAAAGCAGTGCCTCTATGATAGACTCTAAATTTATATAGCTATTTGAAGAAAACCTGTAACATAAATGAACTAAATTCTCTCATAGACCCCTTTAAACTTGATTTTTTTTGTTTTTGGTAGATGCACATTGCTGTTGGCAGAATGGCCATTTTTATCTTCCGTGCCTTTCTTGCCTGTTCGTTACTGTCCATTTGTGGTCTCTTCATATATCCTGGTAGAGAATGTTTGTTCCTTCAGGCTCACCGACAGAATCAGTTGTCCAGAACTATTCCTAAGAGTTTGGTTTCTGAGAAGAAATGATGATTTTTGTTTGGATTATTGAAGTGCTACTTTTGATTTTCTAGTATGATTACAGAACAGTGTTACTAATTGAGTAATCTGGTAGATGTCCCCTCTGGAGACCTCAGAATTATGTGGTTATAAGATAGGCCTCAGCAGTAGTTGGTCATGCAGAGAGAGCAGGCCCCACTAATACAATTGCATTATTTGTTTTATCAATCAGATCCCATTTAAATCTAGAATGAAAAGCTTTTGTAGCTCAGCTGTTACTCTATACAATAACATTGCTTCCTACATTAATAGTACTAAAATTGTTTGTGTACATTTCAATTGGTGCAAGAAATGGTCCACAATTGAGTTGACTTATTAGCATTATAAAGGCTCTGTGCAAGCATGTGCTTCTCGTTGGGAGTAGATTAGTCTTTTTGGGCCTGTGGCTTGATAACTGCCTTTGTTTTCATTGCTGTGAGGCCTATAAGTGTTTTAGACTCTTGGTTTATTTTTTTTTTCATTTGTTTCATTAAAAAAGTACATATAAATGTATACACATAAAAAATGCATAAATACAAATATATATATTTAATAAAGTATTTTTCTTTCATAAGATACTTTTCACAAAGTACCTGGATTCACTGTGTTAAGGTAGAAGAAAGGGTAGAATTTTTAATTTACAACCTCCAACTCTGTCTTTTTATGCACACTAACAGAATATAATTCAATTTTGTGCTTGTTTTATATATATACATTTGTGAAACTTCTCAAAAGAAATTGAGATAGCCAGTTATAAATGGGGTAATAGTAAATAGCACTTCAGATTCATTTAAAAAAAAACAATTAATGAAAACAACCTTAGGCATAATGAGCATTTATCTCATTTTAATACTTTGCAGAGATATTTGTAGATAAAAAACATCAATGTTTTATAAAACATAACTAATGCCTTAACCTGCAGTTATTGTGTCGTCTTTGTATAGTATATTATTTTTTTTTATTTGAAGATTTAATATATTCAGGGAGCACTTTAAAATTTAGCATTCAGGTAACGTTTTATGAGTTTTTCTTCTGTTACAGTTTTTGTATTTCATTATTTTTTCCTTTTGTTTAGGGTAAAGCTGACACTAGAGGGTCTGGAGGAAGATGACGATGATAGAGTATCTCCCACTGTTCTTCACAAAATGTCCAATAGCCTGGAGATATCATTAATAAGCGACAATGAGTTCAAGTGCAGGCATTCACAGCCAGAGTGTGGGTATGGCTTACAGCCTGATCGTTGGACGGAGTATAGCATCCAGACAATGGAACCAGATAACCTGGAACTAATATTTGATTTTTTTGAGGTAAGTAATTATTTCACTGAGGGAGTTGAGAAAGAATGCAGGCATGAGCTTATTTTTACATGTGTTTTCATTTTTATTTTAGTCTAATTTGTGTAAACCCATGATTCATACAACTTTTTAGATGTTTACTCCTCTATACATTTTAGCAGGCTTAAAAAACTTGGAGTTGACAGACTCAAGTATTGTTAAGCATATAATTAAGAGAACTTGAGCAGAACTGATATTTCAAATCAAGACCAGATGTCTTGAGGCCTGTGTTTGTTCTAAAAATAAATGAATTGTATCCAAAGGAGCCTCCGAAGATAAATAGAGGGACAGGCAGGCTCTATAACTGGTGGTGGGTAACCTGATGTAACTAGCATGATTGAGTCCTCTTTATGACTAAAGTCTGTAGTTTACTGAGGCATTTTATTCTAAGAATTCATTATTACAGCAGACTCATTTTTGCAACTTTGCTTGGTATTATAAATATGTAATAAAAAATAGTTGCTATGAAAATTGTGCCGAGTTGTTCAGAATCTGTGCTCCCAACTGTCCGGAGCTACTTGTGACGCTTAGACTAGAGCCCTCCGGCTTACTGGCTGTTCAGATGCTCCCCAAAGGTAATACCGGCTCCTCCCCTAAGGTCCTTGCTCCATTGTGCAGCTCCGTAGTTCTGTGGACTGCTTTCTTTGGACTCTTGTTTTTGGCATTTCCACTCTCATTTCCTCTAGATTAGAGTTTAAATCTTTGAGAGTAGGGTATATGCCTTGCCCAGCAGTAGCACCTAGCAACAGTTTCTTGAAAATAGAATTCAGGATGGATTTAAACCCGCTGAGTAACACTCGTTACATATAATTAAAATTATTATAATCTTTGAATTATTTAATTTGATGATGCCCTTAGACATAGCCTTTATGAGTGGCCTTTTGGCTACCTTGCATTATGGAATTGAAAGTATTTCCTTTCAAAAAACTATAATAAAAAACTTTATTAAAAAAGCCTGTGATTAGATTTTACCTAAGTAATAAAAACTTTATTGTAATAAATAATAATTTATAAGTCATAAATAATCTTTATTTATTATAATCTATAATAAAGTGGGACTTTATTATACAAATACTAAGTTTTGGTTGAATGTTTCCTTGTTCTTTAAGGGCCTACCTTTTAATAATCTCTTGAACAGCCTAACTTTCATTTGATTAGCAGTTTTGGAAATACTATTTTATTCATAGATTAGGCTGATAAAATACCCAGTGTAATCTCAAAGTAAGTATTCTGTTTCCTAGAGAGTTACTGTCCCACTATGTCACCTGTGTAGATGCATTTTCAGAGAATATAATATCCATTAAAAGCTCGCTACAGGTATATCTTAGTCTTTGAATATAAAAGTACTTAGAAACTTTCAGTCAGTGCTTTAAATTCACCTACTACATGTTAGAGGATCTGAAGTGCAGATTTGATTATGTGGTTATGGTTAATACAGTAACACATAAAATCTTAAAATATTATGTACTAGAAGAAATGTATTTATTACAAAGAAGCTATCTAAATTACCTGAATATGAATTTGATTGTGTTTCTTATCAATCTTCCTCCATAGATTCTGAGGTGACTTTAAGGGAGTTTTTTGATCTTTAAATGGAAACTAATGAAGTATAAGAATTTGGATTATTCTAAACCTCATTTTTTCAGGAAGATCTCAGTGAACACATAGTTCAGGGCGATGCCCTTCCTGGACATGTGGGTACAGCATGCCTCTTATCATCCACCATTGCTGAGAGTGGGAAGAGTGCTGGAATCCTTACTCTTCCCATCATGAGCAGAAATTCCAGAAAAACAATAGGCAAAGTGAGAGGTAAGCCTGGAGAAGCAGGGTGGCCCTTTACAAATAAGCAAAGGTTAAGTTAGAATTTTAGTTAGTTTCAAATAGAGCTTTTGAGAATGGTAAAGATGAAATTAATAATTTGTTTTAGAATATTGTTAATATAATAACAGTAAGGACATAGCTATTAAATTTTCTGAAGCTTTACTTTGAATCAGTTTTGACTTGTTGATTTTTTTCTACTTGATAGAGATTGATAAAGCTGGTTTGAGTAATATTTGAATGTAATTGAGTTCATCATGGCCTTTTTAATTGTCTTTATTTTTGTTCCTCCCCCTTTTTTTTCCTACGAAAGTTGACTATATAGTTATTAAGCCATTACCAGGATACACTTGTGGCATGAAATCTTCATTTTCCAAATATTGGAAGCCAAGAATACCATTGGATGTTGGACATCGAGGTGCAGGGAATTCTACAACAACTGCTCAGTAGGTTGAATATTTGAGTAGTGTTGGCATTTGGTAGCTCATGCTTGATATGGTTAAATGGGTTTGACCAACCAAAGGTCAAATGATCCTTTTATTATTACCCTGGGATTTCAATGTAATTTGGTAATTAGGGTTCCCAATTCAAATTAATTGGAGACTAAGTCTCTCCTGAGATTTTGGTCGGTCAGTCTTTTTAATATTCTACTGAATTCATGACAAGAGAGACATTAAAACTAGAAAGCCAGGAGGGAAAGCTTGATGCATAGTCAGCCTGATGGCATCAGTGTGTTGTGGTCCTGACTTTTGGCATGTTGCCCTCTCTGGGTCTCAGTTTCCTCACCTGTTCTCAGTATATCTATACTTCTGCTCTCTTGCTGTGTTCAGCCTTTTTCCATTCCCTTAGTCTGCCAGTATTAAGTCATCTGAGGCTTCATTGCAAGGAGCAAGTTTCTGTGTCTCTACAACTTCATTGCAAAGGATCATTTTCCTTAAGTGGTCACCTCACTTGGGAGAAGGTATGTGGTTGGTATAGGATATGTCTGTATTCAGCTTGTAAATACCTATAATCATTAGAGCTTGCGTTTATGGAATAAATGCACACACCAACCGAGTGATGGTCACAGTCTTATTTTGGGGATGGCAAAATTAGCCTCAAAATAGAGAATAAGTACTATTTCCATTGTTGAAAATACAGTTGGCTTCATTACATTTGTTTTATCTTTTCTACAGTATATATTTCTTCTCTTTCAGGCTTGCTAAAGTTCAAGAAAATACTATTGCTTCTCTAAGAAATGCTGCTAGTCATGTAAGTGAACCTCTCTTTCTTTAAACAACTTTGGACCGTTGGTCCAAAGGTAGAAAAGTAGAGAAATGCGGATCTGGGGAGTCTCCTCCAGTCTTCATTAATAGGTTAAAAGGGGGGATATTTTACTTCTTCTGAATTTGTTACTAAGTGAAGATGAAGAATCTCTAGGCATTTGTGTTTAGATTCGTGGTGAAGAATGGGATGAAACAATGGAATCATAAGCATCCTTTTTTTTGAGATAACAAATTTTGAGTGATTGGGGCAAGAAAAATGTTCCCCATTAAGCATTGGTTTTCATCAACTGAATAACATGTTCATTCAGATACTCACTTTGGAAATAATGCTTATAAAAGGATTTGATAGTGACTTTATGTAACACTTTTAAAAAAAGTCAGTTTACATCCTGCATACCAACTTAATTATGTTAAATTTCTTAACTCCTTTTATCCAATTATAAAGGTTAGAGTCTGTTTTTTAGCTTTTAGTTTTTTTCAGCAACTGCAACTTGACATTTTTAATCAAGAACCTGAGATTGCCCTCCCTCCCACCATTCCTCTGTACCTAACTAAAAAGCCTCATGTTCCAAAGTTAAACTAAGGGGAAAATGGAGGAACAGCTCATTCTTTTATTTCCAGTTTTTCCATAGTGTCCTCGACATGCCTTAAACTTTGCCTTTTAAAAAATAGTTCAGCAAGTAAACTTGATTGGTCAGATGTTTAACTTTATCACTTATATGAGCAAACATCTCTTCTAAGACACACTTTTTTCATATTTTAACATCTCTAAAATTGGGATGGGTTTTACAACTTGCTTAGCTTTGCATCATGGTTTGATTGGCAACATTTCTTTTCCTCTTAGTGATATATAAAATAATGATGCATTTTATAATACATGACATCTTTATCGTAATTATTTATTTTAATGTTAAAAGTATTAGTAGTGGGGCCGGCCCCGTGTTTTAGCAGTTAAGTGCGCGTGCTCCGCTACTGGCGGCCCAGGCTCGGATCCCGGGCGTGCGCCGACGCACCACTCGTTGGGGCCGTGCTGAGGCGGCGTCCCACATACACCAACTAGCAGGATGTGCAACTATGACATACAACTATCTACTGGGGCTTTGGGGAGAAAAAGGGAAAAAAAAAAGGAGGAGGATTCACAATAGGGTCAGGGCCGGTCTTCCTCAGCAAAAAGAGGAGGATTGGCGTGGATGTTAGCTCAGGGCTGATCTTGCTTACAAAAAAAAAATATATATATAGTGACTAGTCTTGTGTTGAAAGGATGATATTAAATCTATGAGTATGTTGGGCTGTAGTTCATTACTTGGAACTTTTAGTTCATTGTAGCTAACTAATCTAAACATTGTTTTATTTATTAGCTGTAAACACCAGAAGATCCCTGTTAAAGAACTTTCAGGGTCTCTATGCGTTTTGAGAGAGGATTTCATTAAGCCTTTTTCTTCAGTATTCTGATGAAATCCTTTGTAACGCATATGGATCACATTTTAGAATGTCTTGTGTTAGTTATCAGTGGCTGGTTTGTTTTAATGTTAAAAACATATCTTTGAAGAGATTTTGGTCTGTTATTGGCTTATTTCTTAAAGCTCACAAATGAATTTTAGGATCAAGTTTTCTCTCTTAGTAAAATTCTCTTCCTAACAGATGATGATCATGTAAAATTAAACATTTAAAGTAGAAAGCTATAATTTAATACATTTAGTTATTATAAGTATTTAGGGGTGTTAGATTTGTTCTCTTTGGTAGAAATGGTTTGTGTTACAATAGTAGAAGCTAAGCTTATTTCCTGCTTCAGAAGTCATCAAGGAAGTAGGCTCCTTTGGTTCTGGTCTGTGATCCATGTATACTTGCAATTGAGTACCCTTCCTTGACCTAAAGCTAGGGTAAGGGGTGGAAACATATCCATCCATTCTTATACAGCACTTCCCTGGGCCGTAGTAACATTACAGAATTCTCAGGCCTTGTTTCTTTTGATCCCAGCTGGCTTTCTTTCAGTGAATTTACAAACTTGTATGTCAGTTTATGTTCTCAGCCTTTATTTGGATTAATTCATGTGTCAGAATGGACCTGACTTTTAAAAATATATCTTTAACTCGAATTCTTGTCCTCCTTTCTTCTGCTTAGGCTTCTGTCAGGAAATTCGGCGTGTGCGTTGTTCTTGTTGCCCATTTCTGCTTTCTCTGTCTTTTCAGCAGCAGTTGTAGTTTCCTCTTTAATCTGATTACTGAGGGTTTGTTGAGAAAGGCTGTGAAGTGTGCTGCTCTAGTGCACCAAGGAGCAGCACTAAGAGACTACAGCTTATTTGTTTTCCCCCCTCATCTTTGAGGTTCAGCTGTCCAGCTAAGGTATGCAGGGCAGTAAGGTGCAAGGTAGCCTTGAGCTCCAGGCTCCATTTCTGCTGATAGCAGTAGTAGAGATGACACCTGTGAAGGCTGTACACTGCCACACAGGGGCCTTGGGCTGTGTTCAAGTGGATCACTGCCCGTTTTTTTGCCAGGAAGAAATTGCTGAGCTATTGCGAAAAAAAAAAAAAAAAAAAAAACTTGTTTTAAAAGCTTGAATTGTAGCATTAAATAATTCATGAAGAAGTTTTGTGTACAGGTCTGTAATTTTATAGTGAACAATAAATTTCTTTTGTCCTTGTGGTTTTAGATGTATCTTGGGCCAGGTGATGTTTTTCAAATACTTGTTTTCTTTATTTCTGTCAGGGTGCAGCCTTTGTAGAATTTGATGTACATCTTTCAAAAGATTTTGTGCCTGTGGTGTATCATGATCTCACCTGTTGTTTGACTATGAAAAAGGTATGTTGAAATTCCTTCATTTTAAACTCTTATAGTTAGATAAGAGGTTTAAAAACAAGGAAGTTGTATGTATATATTTAACATTTACTAAGTAGAGTTGGTCAGTTCATTTTCTTGGTGAATTACTGCTTATCCTTTCCTCTCTCAAGCTCCTACAATATTAAAAGAGTGAGCAGATAATATTAATTTTCTAGAGTAGGGTCTCCATTGCAGAATTTGCTTTTTTTATATTATTTAACAAAAGGACATTTCAGGAGGTTTCTGTGTCAGTCTGCCACTGTCCCCATATTGAGGCAGTAGAGAAAGCTATCAGAGTATTTGTTTTCTAGGCTCCCTTCTATTTCTACTTCAAGCTTATTCTCAGATTAATAGGCTAGTATGATTTGGCTAAAGTAGGAAGAGCCACGGTGAACAATAGGGTTGGAAAAGTGGTTTTGGAGCCAGATAGTGGAGGGCCCCAGTGAAGGGGTTTAGACTGGGGAGCTAGGGAGATATGAAAGACTTTTGAGCCAAGAGGGGAAATATTCAGAACTAAACTTCAGATTAATACTTTGGTACTTGATGTAAGGGGAATTTAAGAGGATGGAGACTGGAGGCAAGGGGAGAGGTAATGTGGGCCGAAAGTAAGGTAAGCCTGCACTGGAGTGGAGATAGAATGGAGAGGAGGGCATGATAGAGGAGAAAGTCCAGAAGGAGATTTGAAAATGCATATAATTTCTTAAAAATTATAACTTGCTGTACAAACATAATTGTGATAACTATATAATGCCTAAATTGCAGTGTACAAATCAACCAAGTGATTTCTCAGGGACTTAAACTAGGAGGGTTCATTTGGCATTTTCTTTAAAACTGTGTTGGGTATCATTTTCCACTGAGTTGATTTAAAGTGAAGGCTAGTTTGCTAACATGTATAACACTGTACCAGACACTGCGTGTTGTAGTATAAATATATGACAAGGCACCTGGCTCTGCCTGCTAGTCAATTCTAATCAATCCTGTGGTTTTGGATTACTATGATGTATAGACAAAGATTTCCATTTCACGGTATTAGGAGAGGGAAGGAAGGAGATGTACCTATTTAGATGACAAAAGTAGAATAACTTAATAGAAATGAAGCAGGTTTTTTTGCTGCAGGGAAACATTAATGCAAAGCGAAATGAGAAGGAATGGAATGTTAAAGGATCTTACTAACCAAGATTGAGGTTAATGAACCTAGATATACCTTCTAAAAATCTGAGAGTTAATTGAAGAGTATTACTGATACCCCATTTTCACCAGACTTTGTCTTGCTCATAAGTGGAACCTGGATGAGTTAATTGGGGAATGAAAGTAATAAATTGTATATATTTTTAGGTTGAGTTTTAATTTTTAAGCTGGTATTTTCCTTATAAAACCAATTTATGTTCATTATAAAATAGCAGGTAGTTCAGAAGACTATGAAATGAAAAATAAATCTTTCCCCTTTCTTCTCGATTACACTCCCTTACTCTTAATAGTTCTTGTGTGTCTTTCCAGAGAAACTTTATACATATACAGACTCACATCATATATACATGAATGAATAGAAATGTAATGGATTTTAGTATATTTGTTGGATTGATGATTCATTAGTGGTACATTAACTCATTATCTTAAGATTGAGGTGCGTAACAGTGTGACATTTGATATGGTATTAAAATGTAATAAAACAGATTTGCTCATGGGGAAAATGTTTATAATAGATTAGAGTTCCAGTTAAATATTACTGCTTATAGCTAATAAGACAATTTTTTCATGACAGTTCATTTCTGTGGCTGTCTTTAACCAAACTTAAGTTTAAAAAGTTTAGAAAAGTTTAGAGACTTATTGACAGAAATTAATCCTTTCATAGTACTTGCATGTTGATGTCCTAGTCATGTAGCATGGATATATCTCAGATAAGATGTATACAGCATGACAGGAAATAGAGGAAATGGCAGACTTCTGGTTTTGTTCTCAGTGTGTCTTCAGGGCCACAGCTTCCTCCCAGCCGTTTTTTCTTCCAGGCACTTCCACTTACATTAAAAACACAAGCCAGATTTTAAGAGCTGGGAGGTCGTGTTAGGTAAGAAAGGCCCCCCTGCATAGGCTCCATGTAGCTACCAAACAATTGTTTTCATCATTCAGTAAATGGAGGTATTAGTCCTGTCTAGGGTAAACATTCAGGAATAATTTGGGGCCCTTTTTGCTCTTGATTTTCTTTTTAGAAATTTGATGCTGATCCAGTTGAATTATTTGAAATTCCAGTAAAGGAGTTAACATTTGACCAACTCCAGTTGTTAAAGGTAGGAATAGTAGCACAAAATGTAAATTATCTTTTAGTTTTAGGACTATTTGTACTTGTCTGTGTAATGTTCTCTGCACATGGAGGTAACTATATATTCAGCATGCGTAGAGTGTATGCTTTGGTTTACTGTTCTGCTAGGAAGAATAGGTTTGTGCTCATCCATCTGTCTTCTCTAACAGTTTCCATGGACCCCACTGGTTTTTGCATTCATTAAGGGGTTAGGCCATGTCTTTGTAGGCCATAGGGACTAGCCCTTCTCATCCATAATCTTAGTAGATTGCCTCTGGTCTGCTTTAGCTCGCCTTCATGTAACTGTCACTAGTTTACAGTTCGCCTTTTATGCTATCCTTGGTCTTTATACTTATGTTACTATCTAAGATCTTTGTATATTTTGTTATACCACGTAATTTTACATGATCCCTCCTATTTCCATTAGATACCTAAATAAATGATTGGTTGAGTATAAACAGTTTCCTAATTTAAGGATTTTTATATTATTCTTCCGTACTTGGGTATTTGATCATGATCTTATGTGTATGTATGCACATATAAAATGTATACAGTCTTTAGTGCTTACTCTTATTAAACTGATAATTCTACATTTAATAGTTTTCTCTAACTTGCTAGCTTTTCAGGTTATAGTTCTATTAACCATATCTTCATGAACTAAGGCTTTTTTTTTCTGATTGCATTTTGTGTGTGTGTGTGTTTTCTAGCTCGCTCATGTGACTGCACTAAAATCTAAAGATCTGAAAGGTATGTACCAATATGGAAACGCTGTTTTCATTTGGTAGTTAGCATGTATATGGTATTTCCTTATCCGTTTTAACATACTCTTGGTCATTGAATGAGTATAATACTGGGCTATCTAAATGTAATTTTGTAGACATGAAGGCTTTACGTATATTACTTATCAAATGCATGTATGTCATATGTATAGTAACTGTGATTTTTTACTCTTTTGTGAATCTTGTTAGCTTGATGATCAAAGTTGTTTATAATTTTGTACCTATCAATCTTTCCAAACATTCTTAACCTTTACAAAGTGGAGAGTATATCAAGTATAGAATCTGGCTCCAGAGCCAGGAATGCGAATCCAGCTCTAGCATTTACCAGCTGTGACTTGACTTGACTTGACTTGACTTAACTGTGACTTTAGTTAACCACTCTGTGGCTCAGTTTCCTCAAAGCTTGTCCTGCCTACAAAGTCTCTTTGTAATTCCACTTTACTTTCTACTCCCATAGAACTTAATAGTCTGTACCATTCATTTGAGACTTATTGTATCCTTTTTTTAACCCTTTATTTTTGTGTATGTCCTATCTCTTCAGCTAGAATCTCTCAAGGGTGGGAACATTGTTTTTATATTTTCCAAGACATTTACAGGACTCTGACCATAGTAGGTACTCTTTAGTTGTTTATCTGCAGTTGTGGTAACTGGATAGTTGGAATGCCTTTATGAAGAAGTTGTGAAGTGCTAAAGACTCCAAAGATTAACCCCAGAGCATAAATATGACTTCATAGACATGTAGATATTTCATGACTATTAATAGTAAAATGAATTTTACCTTTAATTTATTCAACAGGAAAGTTTTACATGATCTTAGTCTTTGAATTTGTAATACACAGGATTTTTATTTTCTATTGACATTAATTTTTTTTTCTTTTGAAAAAAATTCTTGTGTCTCGATATAATCTGTTTTAGATTAAATGGTAACAAAAGCACAATGGTAGCTATAGATTCTCTTAATTTCTAGCTTCTGAGCTGATTTTGATATTTCAAATAGGAGGCTTAGCAAGATGGCACAGCTCTTAATTCTACTGAGAAATAACAAATCACTGCTTGTGACTACTTTTTAAAAAGTATTACCTTTTTTTTTTCTTTGGTGAGGAAGATTGGCCCTGAGCTAACATCGTTGCCAATCTTCCTCTTTTTGCTTGAGAAAGATTGTCCCTGAGTAACATCTGTTCCAGTCTTCCTCTATTTTGTATGTGGGATGCTGCCACAGTGTGGCTTGATGAGTGGTGTGTAGGTCCGTGCCCGGAATCTGAATCCAAGAACCCCAGGGTGCCGAAGCAGCACACACGAATTTAACCACTACACCACCGGGCCAGCTGCAAGTATTACCATTTTTATAGGAAAATAATCACTGTTGGGACCACAAACTATGGTATTTCTATTAAATATTGCAAGCTGGTCTTCATAAAGGATGCTTATTTCGAAAATAGGAGTTTTAATGGTAAAAATAATAAACATAGGAGCCTCCAAAAAATATGAAAAAATATGAAAGGATCTCATAATTACTTCAGCTTCTCTTTTTTTGCCCTAAGAATTTAGGAAAAGATCTTAGTGATAAAATGATGTTTTATCTACTGAGTTTTTGTTTTAAAATTTCAGCATCTGTGGTTGAGGAAGAAAATTCTTTTTCTGAAAACCAGCCATTTCCTTCTCTTAAGATGGTAAGTTCCGTAAGAAAATGAGGGCAAGGCTATTTCATTAATTCTGTTATATCTGAATAATTTATTTTGGTATCTTAAATGGGCACTAAAAAGGCTGTCTCAAAGACAACTTTAATGTAAACTTGTCATCACTGATGCTTTTTAGAGAAAATACGTTCTTGGGTGGTGTACCTATGCTACTTTTTTTTTTTAAGAGAAACTTACCTGCTCAAATGAATAAAAATTCCCACCTCAGTGGGTTAATTTGGTAAGGACAGGAGATTCAGATAATTCTGTGTACAAACAGGAAGGAGAGGGCACAGAAAAAGGGGTGGAAGGGAGATGTAATGATGGGAGAGGCATTTTTACAATATTTAAAACTGTTCCTTAGCTTTTGGAGAGAAATGAAATTCTCCAACCAAAGAAAATAAGTACCCTGGTTACCTAAAATAAGACACAGATTTCAAGAATTCACTCTGAAAAAGTATAATAAAAACTAACATGAAGGTTTAAAAACTAGACACAGTTCATACAAGAATCCCTCTGACAGTATCAGGCAAGCCTGCGTGGATGCCAGACACTCGCCTTGACCATGCTGGTCTGCTTTTGTTCCTACTGGCTCCATTTCCTGACTTCTGCTCTTCTCCGTTGTCTCTTTCTGGTGATGTCAGATACGGTAGGTTTCTTAGGCAAAAATGGATAATTTCAGTTAATCATGATTATTCACCCTACAAAAAGGATGCTACCAGAAAGTCCCTTGTCCTTGCAGTGGACATTGTCCTTGTGTATTTAAAACAGGGTTTGAATAGTTTTTCAGATATTTATGAAGCCCAACTAAATAAAGTCATTCCTTCTAATCCAAAATTCTGAAATCATTTGGTTCTTAGAAATCTCATGATTCCTGGACTTGTGATTTCATAGAACAGAAGAACAGTTAAGAAAAAATTGTGTATCAAAGGTTTGACAACATTTACTTAGCCAAATAAGTTAAACACACACACTCATTTATTCACCTACTTTACCAGCACTAATAATTTAATCACAGGGAAATTCTAAAACCATAAAAAGGCCAAATCCAATCTCAGTATAAAGAAGAATCTTTCTGCAAATTTTTTGTTTAGTAGTCAACACTAATATACACTATTGTCCTTATTTTTCTAATTTTGCATTAGTCCAGTAAAAACGCGACAGGTACATTAAATAAATAAGGCCAAAGATATCAGAGAAGAAAGTCAAAAAGCCCCACAAGAACTTGAAGACAAAATGGTCTAGGTGCTGTACTTTCCCTGCAACTGGTTAGTGTAGACCCAGGGCTAAATCCCAGGTCAGCAGACTCCTGGCTGTGTTCTTACCGCTGTATTATTGTTAGTGTGCTTTTATTCACTGTTATGCAATTATATACCATATATACTATACATGTTAAATTATTTCTAAACTTTTGAAATAAATTGAAGTTAAAAACAATCTGTTTCAAATTCATTTTGTCCCAAGTATGTTTATATATTTGCCTGGCCTTCGTGTTTGTTTGAAGACTAAACAAGTCAGCTCTTTGTACATTAACATTCAAGCTTCATATTTTCAGTTTGACTTTCTAGTTTTGCTGCCAAAATGATCTTTTGCAAAGTGTTGAGATAATTTGGTTGAGATAAATTGACACCTTATTATTTGTTCATTTATATAGAGATAGCCTAATTTATGTATGAGCTTCAGCATAATCTTTCATTTGGAGATAACATCTTAAGCATCTCCACCTTTGAAACAAGCTAGAAATCACGGTTTTTCTTATAACTACATCTTAGTATCGTAGATTGACAAAGCTGAATGCAATTCAGAAAACATAACAAATGTCTTCTTAAATTCATGAGGTTGCTTGTCTTATTACAGCTCACTTTGGATGTTCAGTAGTGATGGTGAAAGGATTTTAGGTTAAGGATTCATCTTTGTGGTAGTAGTGATCAGTTAACCACAGATGTTGCCTAAGACTACTGCTTTTGCTGTTTAATTTCTTTTGACTTTCTTATTTAGCTTAATCATTAACCAGGTTGTCAGTTTTGGGGTATGAGAAGAGATAGTGGTTTATGCTGAGAGTACCTAACATTTTGTCCTTACTAGTGATATGTTTTCTTAGATTGCTTTTTGTAATAATTTTTTTCCTTTTTTTCTTCTTATTCTACCATTCATCTCACCAAACACAAAACAAAATTTACCACCAACAAACAAAACTCTAGGTTTTAGAGTCTTTGCCAGAAGACGTAGGGTTTAATATAGAAATAAAATGGATCTGCCAACAGAGGGTAAGTAATTCTCTATGTAACACACTCTTCTCCCTCCCTGTTTCTTTAAATGCATTCATTCCTATCTCTTCATTTTAGTGGAATAAGTGAGACTAAAATCTTGTTGTGGCTTCCTCCAGCAAGCACAGTGCTTGTTGGGCCTTTTATTAATAAAGCATATCTTACACTTATACTAACATGTGAGTACTTGAAATAGTGATGAATGTATTATAGTAGAAATTTCGGTTTACGTGTCTCATGTGAGCATTCATATAGATTGTCTCTGGGCGTACTTATAAAACGTACGGTGAGAACTCTCTGGACAGTCAGAACTTTATAACTCTGCTTAGTTTTTGTTTTCTTATCCCCCATCTAAACATATATTTTAAATAATTTCCTAAGCAGTTTTCTGTTAAGTGGCAGTAGCTAGTAATAATTAACCAGGAAAAGAAATTTCTGGATATATTTTAAATCGCTCCCAGACTTAGTCACTCTTTTGTTCAACAATATATATTGAAAAGCTGCTATGGGCCTGGCATTTTCTGGGTGCTAGAGTCGAGTAGTGAACAAAACAGAATGAAACCTTACCTTCCTGGAACTTACATTCTAGTCGAGGAAAAGAGTTAACTATTGAATGTATCAGATGGGGATGTGTGTAAACGGGTGGGATGTGTGCTAAGAGGGTTGGTTGGGGTGGGGGGCTGTAGGAAGTAGTTAATTCAAGTATCATGATTGGGCAATCAGAACAATATCTTGGAATTTGTTTTGGTCAGAATAATCTGTAACTGCCCTGAAATCATGCCTTCTAAGTAGCTATTTATGATACGCTGGTTCTGGTTAACATAGTAAGTGCTCATCCAAGGTTTTCTTAATAAGTGATTTTTAGTTTTCTGAGCTTTTAGATTATTTTAACAACTAATATTTAAAACATTTAATATTTGAATCTCAGCAGGGTTCTTGGTATCTTAGCTATATTTAGAGAATTATTTTTATTATTTGTTGAGAGTACTTGATATGCCTGAGACCCAAAGAATGAGATCTTTAACTGATAATTCATAATTACCAGGGGTCTTTTGTAATGAGTTAGCAAGTGAAGTGGAGTCCTTTGGTCCTTTAGTTTATGAAGATTATATAAAAATATTTTAAAGTCATAGTAGATTGCAAATTTCCAGAGTTTTAGCTTTTACTTTAACCTTAATTTATTAAAGCAAAAGTATATTGATAGTATAATCACTTTGTATATAAGTTCTCTATACTTGAATTATGATAGTTGCACCGTCACTAAGTGGCTATGTGGTCTCGGGCAAGTTAATTTTTTCAGGCCTCATCTGTAAAATAAGAGTTGGACTAGATGTTTTCAAAATTTTTTCCAGCACTGTGATTCTAGGGTATTTAATGACTTTAGTTTTCCTATTTTATTTCTTCCACACAGGATGGAATGTGGGATGGTAACTTGTCAACATATTTTGACATGAATCTGTTTTTGGATATAATTTTAAAAACTGTCTTAGAACATTCTGGGAAGAGGAGAATAGTGTTTTCTTCATTTGATGCAGATATTTGCACAATGTGAGTAATATTCAGTGTTTTTCTCCCATACTCTTAGACTGTAGCTAGGACTTAGGGTACAAAGGTCATGATTGGAAGTGAGGAAGTTGCCCAGACTTCACCTTTGATTTTCCTCTCAGTCAGGTTATATATATTCTCACATCTCTTCAGGACTACCTGCTGGGATGCCCTCCACTCCTGTCAGCTCCACACCCACTGGGTCCTAGCACCTCATGCCCTGGGTTTCATTTTACAGGCATGTCACATCCTCCTTACCAAATTATAAGCCCTCAAGGGCTTTCTTGTTGCCCATTTCGGGGACTATTTTAGCTCTTGTGTAGGATAATTTAAAAGAAAATTTTTTTTACTAAAAGGCAATACGTGTTAATGGTGGTTACATCTCAGTAATAGGATTATGGGTTTTTTGTTCGTTTGTTTTAGTATTTTCTAAAATTTCAAAACAATATAATTACCTCCCCGGTGAAACGTATCTTTAAAATTGTCTTTCTTAGGGTTAGGCAAAAGCAGAACAAATATCCCATATTATTTTTGACTCAAGGAAAGTCTGATATTTATCCTGAACTCATGGACCTCAGGTCTCGGACAACCCCCATTGCAATGAGCTTTGCACAGTTTGAAAATCTGCTGGTAAGTTATATTTGAATTTTTTAATTTTAATTTTTTAAAATGTTTTAGAGCAGCAGTAAATAAAGTTTTATGTTACTTTACACCTCTGATTTTTTAGTTTTGACCTATGTATAACAAGCAGATAGCTCTACCTAAAAATGAGGATATTAGGGGCCGGCCCAGTGGCGTAGTGGTTAAGTTTGTGGACTCTGCTTCGGCAGCCTAGGGTTTGCATGTTCAGATCCCGGGCGCGGACTTGCACAATGCTCATCAAGCCATGCTGTGGCGGCGTCCCATATAAAGTAGAGGAAGATAGGCACGGATGTTAGCCCAGGGCCAATCTTCCTCAGCAAAAGAGAGGAGGATTGGCAAGAGATGTTAGCTCAGAACTAATCTTCCTCATGAAAAAAAAATATGAGGATATTAGATCTCAGAATGAAAAGCAGTTAAATGAACAACAACAAAAAAATTTTCTTGCCGGCCTAGGTTAAGTAAGGTTTATAGTTTAGTTTTCTGAGTGAATTTTATGAATCATCTAAAACGGTTAGACTGTAAACTTGTTTGATAAAATAAATTGTAAGAAAAAATTATAACTTTTTTTTCCCAGCCCACTCTACTTTGGAGAGCACTGATCTAGAGCATGACCATTTAGCATTTGCAGTTCATGAGTTACTTTTCCATGAGTAACTTATTTTTCTTCTTTTAGGGGATAAATGCACATACTGAAGACCTGCTCAGAAACCCATCCTACATTCAAGAGGCAAAAGCTAAGGGACTAGTCATATTCTGCTGGGGTGATGATACCAATGATCCTGAAAACAGAAAGAAATTGAAGGAATTTGGAGTTAATGGTCTAATTTATGATAGGTATTTGTTTTTCATAAAAAATTTTTAGGGAATGCTAGGAAAAAAAGTAGTTTTAATCTTATAAAATTAAAAATAATATTAAACTTAGTTAAGTTAAAATTCTGTAGTTCAGCCTGAGGTTTATCTTGCCATTTGTTTGTCGGCAGAATTTTTCTAGCTTTAGAGTATACCACGATCGCTTGGGAGCTTGTTAAAAAGTCAGATGACAGGGCTCTAACCCAGACGTGTACTGAGTCATCTTGGGGTTGGGGTGGCTGTCTGCCCCAGACCTCTTCTCTGTCTACACCAACTTTCTTGGTAATCTCATCCAGTTTTTTGGCTTTTCATATACCTGTATATATTCCCAAATTTTTATATCTCCAGGTCAGACGTTTTCTCAGACCTCTAAACTTTTGTATCTGGGGCCGGCCCCATGGCTTAGTGGTTAAGTGCACGCGCTCCGCTGCTGGCGGCCCGGGTTCGGATCCCGGGCACGCACCGACGCACCACTTCTCCGGCCATGCTGAGGCCGCGTCCCACATACAGCAACTAGAAGGCTGTGCAACTACGACATATAACTATCTACTGGGGCTTTGGGGGAAAATAAAAAAAAAAAAAAAAAAAAATTTAAACTTTTGTATCTGGCTACCAACACCTGTTTTTCCTAAGACTTCCTGATTTCAGTGTAAATGACAACTCCATCTTTCTAGTTTCTCAGGCCAAATCCTTGGAGTCTTTCATAACTCAGTTTTGTTTTTTTTTGTGAGGAAGATCAGCCCTGTGCTAACATCTGCCAACCCTCCTCTTTTTTTTTTTGCTGAGGAAGACTGGCCTTGGGCTAACGTATGTGCCCATCTTCCTCTACTTTACATGGGACGCTGCCACAGCATGGCTTGCCAAGCTGTGCATTGGTGCGCACCCGGGATCCTAACCGGCGAACCCCGGGCCGCCACAGCGGAGTGCGCGCACTTAACCGCTTGCGCCGCCCAGCCAGCCCCTCTGTTTTTTATCTCATACCCCAAATCCAGTGAGACAAAATCTTGTTGATTCTATCTTCAAAACATATCCCGAATCTATCCACTCACCACATTTACTGTTGTCACTCTCTGCTAAGGCACCTCATTTCTTAGTTGGATTATTGAAGTAGCCTGCTCACTGATGACTGCCGCCACCCATCCCTCCCTGCTCTCTATTCTCAGCACAGCAGCCTGAGTGAGCCTGTTAAAACCCAAGTCAGATCATGTTGCTGCTTAAAACTCGCACAGTTTCTGTGTCACCTAAAGTAAAATCCCAGGTCCTTCCAAGGCCCTGTGTGGGCTGATTCCCATCCCATTCCACTCTCCACCACTACCCTCTTTCCTCTTTCCTCGACCCTCTTTCCCTCCCTGACCTCTTCTCCTACAGCTTTCCTGCAAGCCACCCCCACTTTGGCCTCCTGCTGTTTCTCTTCAGGAAAGACTGAAATGTCATCTTCTCAGTAAGACCTTCCCTGAATATCCTAATTCAAATAACAACCTCTGCTCAGAGTGTACTTCCTGACTTTTCTCCATAGCGTTCACCACCATCTGATATACCCAGGTACATATTATATTTTACGTATTTCTATTCTCCCTGACCTTTCCCAACCCCTGCCTCCACACACACACACAAGCTCCCTGGGGGCGAGGCTCTTTGCCTGTTTCATACACTGTACACTGCTGTATCTCCAGAGGTCACAACAATGTGGGATACACAGTAGGAGCTCACATATTTGTTGAACAGATCTTTTTCTTTTCTTCTTTTATAAGCTCCCCAGGTGTTTATGATGTAAGTTTGAGTGCCACTAACCTAAGAGATGAAGTTTGCTTAGCATAAAGAAATTTGGGGTTAGAAGCGATGTCATTTACTCTGCTGAGGGATTAGCAGGCTTATTAATGCTTGAGCAGCATTATACAAAGAGTAAGTGATAAAATTCTTACCAGGCCTGCTTTAAAGAATACTTTTCTGGGATTTAGTTCATATTTCTGTTCTATAAAGTTATATCATTTTCATAATAAAGGTGTGTTTTTCGTTATTTTGTCTGAATTAGTCAGGTTTTAAAATTGCAGCCCAGATAATGCCTGCCTTCCTTTTTAACTATTTGTTTAGTTTTGCGTTAAGCAGCAAGTGATTCATAGCTCTTTTTAATAGACATTTCTACCTAACTAAAGGAAAATTAAAATTTTAAATTAACAATTTGAAGGAAGTGCTGGCTTTAGCAAAATTTTGAAGAATATTTCTTTAAGGACGAGGAAGGAATGATTGCAGATATTTTCAGGCAAGGAAAGTGTATTGTGAGATTATACCATGTACAGCTTTGTGGGATATACAAATTTTAGGCAGATGCTTCATCTCAACGGCCTTCCTTGATTGGAGCCAAATACGGACATGTGATGGAGAACAGGAAGATACTGTGTGATATAAAAGGCCCCGAAGAAAGTGAGTGCTTCCTGGCCTGGGGTCAATAAGGATAATTTTAAAGCAGCAGCATTGCCATGAATTTTGGAGGGTGATTAAATTCACTTTGACAGGATTTGCGTTTTAGGCAGAGGTGAGAGCATGAATGGGGCAGGGCTCTGTTGAAGATGTGGAGGATGTTGAGAACACAGCCCAGCAGTGGCTCCTGCTAGGGTCTGACAAGAGGGGCGGTGCATTGTGTTAGAGTTGGTTTTTACCTTTGAAAGTCTTTATTTAATTCTAATCAAAGAACTACGTATATAACTATATATACATAGTTTAAAAAATCAAGTAGTCTACAGGGCTTACGATAAAAACCACCAGTCCCCTATCCCTGTCCCTTTCATTGTCTCTAGCTGAGTTCCTATGCCCTAATTTTTTTTAGCTGTTTCTTCTGGTACTTAATGTGCTTGTGCTATTATTTTTTTCATTATCAAATTTAGACATATAAAAGGTTTTGAATGATTAGTGATTCAGAGCCTTGGATTCATTTTACATTGGAGAGTGTGATGAGAGTGGGCGTTTTTAGTTTATCAAAACTATTTTGTTCTTTTACAAAGGCATTAACACAGTAGATTTTACAGTTAATCATAGTTTTGTGATATATTATTTCATATACCACTACATTTGATTTGCTATTTGGGGATTTCTGCATTTATGATAATGAGCAAGAATGGCCTTTAATTTACCTTTCTCAAATGGTTGTCTAATTTTGGTATGGGTACCAAGTACCTGCCTCATACAGTGAATTGGGCAGTGTTCCCTCTATTTATAAAAAATTACTGTGCTCAAATGACTTTCAAAATACAGTAACAGACACCACCTTTAAGGTAAAGAACATCATCCTTCGATTTGAAGTCCCTTGTGTGCCTCTCCCTAATTCTATTCCCTTATCTCCTCCCTCAGATATAACTGTTTATCAAATTAGTATTCTTTTTAAAAATTTTTTAAATTCCTAATTTCTATCAGTAAACAATATACCATTTAGTTTTGCATGGCTTTAAACTTTTTAACTTTTTTTCCACTTGTTATGATGTTCCTAAAATCAGTCCATTTGTTGCATGCAGCTATAATTTATTCATCTTCATGGCTGTATAATATGCATGGCTGTATGTCTCTACCACAATTTATTCTGCTATTTGAGAAGGCTTAGGTGATTGCCGAGTTTTCGATATTACGTAATAGTGTCTCCTAAAATACGTGTGTAAAGTTTCTCTAGGGTAATGATTTTCAAACCTTTTAGACGCCAACCCAGTTAGAAATGCATTTTACATTGCAACCTAGTGCACGCAGAGCTATGTATATCTACCAATGTGTACCTAAAACAAAATTTTAAAAATAATGCCCCTTGGATATTTTTATTCGTATATGTACTTTTTAAATGGTAGTTTATTGCACCACTGGCCTTTATCTTTTTAAATGCTAGTTTTAACTTTCTGAACTGATTTGCAACCCCACTTGGTCTCTAGCTCAGCATGATAAGGCATGTGTTTGTGGGTCAGGCATTGGAAGTACAGCAGGAACATGGTCACGTGGAATGGGCTGTTCTGTGTTTCCTGGTTCTGTGCTCATTGTAGCCTGCCACCAGTTCTCAGGAGTAGCCTAACGCATAATAAACCTGTCAGGTAGAGTGGAAATTCATCAACACATGGTTAAGACAAACCATATTTAAGTAAGACTCTGGTTCAGTCTCACCAGGACACTCCATCCTTAGGTTGCAAAGCTGGTAGAGTGGCAGTGGCCCTCTTGGAATGATAGCCGTTAGCACGCCTTCTTTTTCACTCAGACTGCTCCAGTACAGACTGGTTGACTTCTTTGGGCAAAACTGTCGTCCTGAGTGGTGACCGCTCCCTCACAGTTCCTGTGTCAGAGCTCCTGTTTCCGATAGTCCAAATCCTTTTCTCTCTTGTTTTACTGTCTTGTTTTCTCATCTTTATTTTTATGGAACACATCCTTCATTATCTTTTTGAGAAAGGAGGACATGGAAAGTAAATGTTTTTGAGGTCTTGCATGTCTGGAAGTATCATGCCCAGGGATAAAATTTCATGTTAGAAATCATTTTACTTTAGAATTTTGAAAGCATTTCTCCATCACCTTCCCGATTCCAGTGTTGCTGTTGAGGAGTGTGAAACCGTGTTGACTCCTGTTCCCTCATATATCATTTCTTTATTTCCTCTCTGGGAGCTTGGAGAGCCTTCTTTTTGTCACCAGTGTTGTAAAATTTCAGAGATGGGTCTTTTTGTGGGTCTGGTTTCACCCGTTGTGCTGGGCCCATGGTAGCCCTTTTAGTCTGTTGATATATGTCCTTGACGATGCAGAAGATTTTGTGCATTATTTCTTCAATTTTTGTCCCTTCCATTTTTCGTGGGGTTTTTTTTTTTTTTTTCTTTTTATAGAACTGCTTTTGTTTGTGTATTATACACTCTCAGGCCAAACTTCTAATTTTTATCTTTTCTCCTGTTTTCTTTGTTTTTTTGCTCCACTTTGAAAGATTCCTCAACCTTATCTTCCACCCATTCTGTTGAGTTTTTCATGTCCGTTACTGTGTTTTTAATTTCCAAGAACTGTCTTTTTTCTTTGAAATGCTCTTTTTTCTATAGATCTATATAATATCCTGTTCTCATTTGATGCAAGTACTATTTCTCTGAAGGCATGAAAGGACTTTTTTTTTTGTCTTTTTGGGATTTTCTTCTATTTTGCTCACTATCTTAGATGTTAGAAGCTTTCCTCAGATGTTTGGAAATCCTTAGCCGCTTCTTATGATAAGGAATCAGAATCTACAAAGCTTGTTGGAAGCTCTGAGTGTGTGCATGGGGCTTGTTGACTAGGATGTCATGATGGGGTGATCTGGGGGGCCTGTTTGGTCATACCTCTGATGTCAGTAGATTGATAACTTCAGTTTTTGGCTGATCAGATTCCTCATAGAAGAATCTATATATTCTACCTAGAGGATCCAGGTCTGGCTGCCTTGGAGCTGGGGCAGGGAAGAGACCTGGGGAAGTGGGCATGCCTCTGTGTTTAGCATTTGTTCTGTGTGTGTACTGTCTCTGATTCGCCTGTGCTGCTGGTGGTTTTGTAAAATGCCCAAACTCTCACCTGGTCTTCTTGTCCTCCGTTCCAAGAGATTTCCTGTTTAATTCTTGAAATAAACCTCGCGCGGGGGGTGGGGGGGGGGCAGCCTCTGCAGCAGGGAGGAGGAGGGGGAAGGGAAATGCTTACTGCTGCTAGAGCCTTACCCTGCCTGTTTCAGCCCCTCTCCCTTTCACTCCAGTTCTAGAGGAATTTGGTGCTGCTTCTAACTGAGCCTTTCTTTTTTTTCCACTACTGGCTTGTGATTTGGCCTTTTCCGTTCTGCTAACTGAAATACTTTTTATTACTTATCCATCTGTTTTCCAGCTTCCAAAATTTTGTTGCTGTATCTCTTTGGTTTTTCCTCATACTGGTGGATTTTTTTCTTAATCGCTTTATTTTAGTTTTAATGGCATATAGGGAGAGACTGAAGTTAGATGCTTCTATTCAGTCTGATACTTTGACCCAGAGGTCACTTTTCATTCTCTTATATATGTCTTTAATTAACAGAAAGTCTGTTTTAATAAAGTCAAATATTTAATGGAGTCAATACATTTTTTTATCTTGTTTAAGAAATTCTTTCCTACTGTGATGTCATAAAGATTCTCTTGTAGTGCCTCATATAAGTTGCCTGGCTTTCACATTTAGGCATGAAAGGCCATCCTTTCTCTGCTGATGGGCAATGCCAGTGCTGCCATCGTCACATGGCGCTTTTTCTGGGCTCTCAACTCTGGATTCCTCTGCCTGTACTACACAGCTTTAGGATAATTCTCACACTGGTGAGCAGTCCTTCTCATCTTGATCTTTAGTGCTTTGTATTCAGAACTGTATGAATTCCAGCTCTGCCTCTTAATAGCTTCCCATCTGTAAAATAAGGCATTGCCCATTGATTGACTTGGAGAGAAGATACTTGAAGAATCACTAGTAAGGTACAGATTTTATTTTTTGTTTCAATTGCTTTTTAATCAGCTCTTCTGCATCAGGGGCACAAAAGGAAATGCTGCTCTTCTGGATTATTGGAAAGATTGGGGAGAAGAGAAATATTTTTAAATAGAACTGATGCTTGCATCTTAAAAAAAAAGGACTGTAATATGGATGTTTCCAGCATTCTGTAAACAAAGTCTCCTGAAAAGGTTAAGTCAGACAGGTCTCAAATAAACCATAAAATTACACTATTTTATGTGTTTTGTGTTTGTTTCATCATAGGATATATGATTGGATGCCTGAACAGCCAAATATATTCCAAGTGGAGCAGTTGGAACGCCTGAAGCAAGAATTGCCAGAGCTTAAGAGCTGTTTGTGTCCCACTGGTAGCCGCTTTGTTCCCTCGTCTTTGTGTGGTGGGGAGCCTGACATCCACATGGATGCCAACGGCATTGATAACGTGGAGAGTGCTTAGTTTTTATTGGGCAGAGGCCATTGTGGGGCATGCACTGCTGTTCTGGGTATTCACTTTTCATCGTTGAAGCGTTGTTTTTCTATGCCTTTTAGGTTTCTTGGTCCAATGAAGCAATAATGAAGTATTTTACTATTTCACTACTGTTCTTGCTAGAATTTCAAGTATGCTATTTAAATCACTTGGCCAGGTATAATTACCAGTCAGTCTCTTTACAATGAGAAAATTTATTGGTTGGTAAATATTTTAAACTAAATATGTAAATGTATACTCTTAAACAAATGTTCGTTAAAAGCATAGCACTTTGAAATTAACTATATAAATATATCATATTTACACTTCTTACAGCTTTTCATTTGATCAGGCCTGATATATTTAGCACTTGAGGAACATGACTATGCATAATTATACCTGACCATGGAAGAAATAAGTACCTCAAATGCATGCGTTTGCACTGGTGATTCCAACTGCACAAATCGTTGTGCCATCTGTGTATATATGTATTTTTTACATGTTACATGCACATATACCATTTCATTCAGTATGAACTTTGAGGCTGCTGCTGTTTTCCCACGTAACCAAACCAACACCTGTGTAAACAGCCTGGAGGTGATCCTTAAAAACTTGTTTCATAAGTCTTTCAAAAGTTGTTTGGCATAAATGTTAAAATTTCAAAATGCTGCAGGGTAATTTAATGTATAAAATATTAGAAGTATGTATTGCATATTTAGTAGAGTAGATCATAATGTATAGATTCTGTTCAATGCATGCTTTAGGTTTTAAGCATGAGATTGTACATGTTTACTGTAAGTCCTTGCATCTGTGGTGCTAGGTGAGTGTGAGAAGGTGTCAAGGACTGGAGATATTTTGTTGCCTAAAAAAAGCCTGTTTGTAGGCATTTTGAATATGCTTGTTTTAAGTGTCTCTCACTACCTATTACACACAGTTGCTTTGTGGGTTTGTTTTGTGTGTGTGTGTGTTGCACAGTCTCCATGCAGAAAAATAAATGTCCTGAATTCTCATATTGGTATTTTTTATTGGTTAATGTATATCATGCATGTAATTTATTTAGAAATGTAGAAGATCCTACTAAGTGTATATGCATGTTTTTAGGATTATTCTAAGGTTTCTTTCATTAGAAGCAGATTGTTTTGGCATAACTGTAACTTAAGAATGAATGTTAAATAAAATACACAGATTTATTTTCTTCATTATAAAATGTAATTTCAAGAAGGTGTTACTTTTGTAGAGTTGGTTCTATAATATTACTATGAGAAATTGGAATTTAGTATCTACCCTAAAGGGACGGCTCATTTGCATTTACATTTTACTGCATCTTCTTTTCACTAGGTGGTTCATTCATGTATTGACATATTTTAGTAGTAGCTGAGAACCTAAGACTTGGAATTACATGTTGTATCTTTTTATTTTTTAAGCCAAGCAATGCAGTTTTGGTCAGATCTTAATTGTGTAAAGATAGGCTTTGAAATCCTATGGTATTGTGTGTGTAACACTGATATTTAATGGAAAATAGTTTAGGAAATGGAGTCTTCTGCAAGGGTTCTATATACTTTTCCCATGTTGAATGAGATTTTCCAGCACTTTGCTGTGAATTAGGCACTTTTAGAAAACTTCTGAAAAAATTCGTTTTCTTCACCTGCAGACCTTTGTACAATATAAATACCATTATGTGTGGTAACTTAATCGTACGTGCACATTTCTAGGCCTATTTGTTTGCTCCTCCTCTACACCTTCCCAGTTCCATGTTGAAGACTCTGCAGATCAGAAAGGGAGAGAAGAGAGGATGAGGAAAGGAGGTGATGGGGGGTGTGGAGTTTTCCTGAACAGTGTAATTTGCTGAGAAGAGCTTACAGTGACTGCTTATGAAACAGACAGAACCTCAGTGCTCACTTTCTTTCCTTCTCTTCCTCACCTCACAAACCAGGATTAGTATTCATTAAAACATAACAAGCCATGGCTCCCCGTTTTTATAGGACTAAATCTGGGCTTCCGTATCACTAGCTGTTGCCCTGTACACTCTGCTGTGGCCACACTGTACCCATGCTAGGCCCTGGCCACACCACGTGCCTCCAATCTCCTTGTCTGTAGCCATGTTCTCCCGGCCTAGAAGCTCTGTCCTCCCCACACACGCTTTCTCCCTGCCAGACTCATTTCTCCTTGAGCCATCGACCTCTCTCCCCTGAGCCCTTGCTGAAACTCCTTCAGGAGGGATGGAGCCATCTTTTGTACTCCATAGCCGTATGTTGATACCTTGATCCTGCCGTGCATCTTAGTACGTTCTAGGTAGGCATGGTTGATGTTGGTCTCACCTACCAGGCTGTGGGCTCTTCAAGGACAGGGGCCTTGTCTTACCCATTTTTATTTCCACGGTGCATGGAACATAGTAGAAAATAAATGTTGGAATTATTGGGATAATATAATTTGTATCAAATGTCCTTTTGAATTAAGAGATTTAGTTATGTTTACCAAGAATGTGGACTTTGAATTGGTTTACATTTTGACAATTGGAACAGTTTATTGGTTTCAGTTTTCAATGTAGAGGTATATTGTTAAATTATTTTTTGTATTTTCTGGAAATTGAGTGAATTGTTTGATAAAATGCTGCCATTGTTCTCTGGTATTTTCTACTCTCTGGAATTATGTACTGTAACTGACTGGATGTAAATGTGAGGAACCCCTCTCATTCCTGTGTGGGTAGTGCCTGGGGGCTACCACAGCCACCCATTTACCTCACTCCCATTGTTTCTTGTGACACTTGCCTTTCTTCTGCCCTCCAGACACCACGCTCACACCTACCTCAGTACCACTTTCCTTGTCTGAAATGCCTTCTCTGTCTTCTCTCGGTGTCCAGCTCAGGTGCCACCTCCTCCATAAAACTTCCCTCAGCTTTTGATCAGAATCATGATGCAGACAAGTGCAGACAGCCTCTAAGTCTCACTACTTCATTTTGCAGCTGGGGTAATAAACCCAGAGAAGTTAACTGACTTACCAGGCTGGGACTAGAACTGGGTTTTGTGACTCCTAATCCGGTGTTCGTAAACTACTCTGCCGTCTGAATTCTTGTGGCATTTATTAGCATATGCTTTCTTAGAGTCCGGCTTACTATGTGCCTGTTCTATTTCCCTAATAAGATTGTAAGCCCCTTAAGGGCAGGAACTTCTTTGCCTTCTGTCACTACTATAGTATTCTATACTTAGTTATGAACTAGATAAATAAATGGTGGTGGCAACAATCCTAGTTTCCTAACTCAGATTGTTTCACAGTATACGTACAGTTTTGTGTAGCGTGCTTGGCTGTATTTGTCTGGAGCGTGTGTGCATGTGTGTTTGCATGTTTACATGTGGAATTCTCTGCCGTGTTGCTTGGGATCACATATTTGATGGGTTACCATAAACTGATTTTCCACTCCATGCTCAATGGGGACAATTACGGGAATAAGTGGAAGATAAGGTACAGTTTTCCCCCCAGACCTGGTTGCCTCTTCCTGGGGCAGTACACCTAAAGCCTGCAGCCAGTGGCCTGGTAGTGAAGAAGGTGCTGCCTTGGATAGGACTTGTGTGACCTGTGGGGAGACTGTCTCATTGGTCCCAATGGACTATCATTGTCCTATGTGCCTTGGCTGTTTCTCTTCACAGCTTGACTGCGTCTTGTCTTTCCTAGTATTACTGGTTTGGTGCTCTAGGTTGACAGTGGAATCCTGTTAATTTAGATTTGGTTGCAGCTGATTTACTCTTGTGGATTTTAAGTTGGATCGTGTACTTTTTGGTAGAAAGCAAAGTGTGTATATTAGAAACATTGCATTACTTTGGTGTTCATCAGTGGAAAGTCATTCAAATATAGTCTCATAGTGGGTTTATATAGTTTGAGAAATAGATTTGAAGTGTTTAAAGTGCAAGAGAGCATATGATTAAGATCACGTGAGTATGTGTTGGAGGTAAGGAGGAGAGATCGTGGGTTGGAACAAAGACTTCATAAAGCTTTCAGTCCCTTACAGAATGGGGTAGAGGTCAGGCTAGTTGTGAAGCCAGTTTGGGGCACAGCCTTTGTAAACTCAGGACCAGGGTAGTATTTGTGGTGTGTTCAGGGAGAATGAAGGAGCCATCTGACAATGGAGAGGGTATTTTGAATATCAGAGGCTTTGCTCCCTTGTAGGAGATAAAGTTTATTAATGATTTTAAAGGGAAATGACATTAAAATGAAATGTACTTTAAAATAATGAAGAAATTAGTGTTAGTATAGGAATAATGAAAGAAGTACAGAGATTAGTTTGTCTAATCCTCTACTAAATTGATCCAAACATACGTCTATCTGTTTCCTCAGAAAACAGAAATGCAGATGGGGTGGGTGAACTTGTGAAACTTACTTGCAACCCAGACTATGTAATTTCCGAGGAAAACTAAAAGCCTAGTAAAAGTTCCATGGCATCCCATGGTTTTAAATGTCTCTCTCCACCACCCACACCTCTCCCGTAAGCTCACACATCCAGCTGTCTGCCCACGTCTCCATGTGAGGTCTAATGGGCATCTCACAATGAATGCACCTCAACTCAGCTCTTTGTCTCTCCTTCCACCAAACCTCCCATCTTACCTCCTCCAGTGTTCTGTCTTGTTAAGTGGCACCTGGGAGTCTTCCATGATTTTTCTCTTACTGAAGACTTGTGATTAGTATAATCTCATATTATGATATGTAACAGGTCAGTTGCCCATTTGTTCTTTTTCAATTTTTAAAAAATTCTTCCATATATTATTTTAATAATGTGAGAATCACCTTATCCAGTGCCAGAAAAGTCCCCTTGAGATTTTGATCATTGTTGGATTTATTTTCTAGATTAATGTGTGGGAAGGATTAATGTTTTAAAAATATGAAGTCTTTCTATCCAGAACACAGTGTGTGTCACCATTTATTCAGAATTTTTACATCTTTTTAAAGTTTATTATACTTTATACTATACTCTATACTTTTTAAAGTTTATTTCTATATTTTTAAAAACTACTTCTCTTAGGAATTGTATTTCTAAAATTCCTATTACATTTCCTTAAATACATTCTTCTTCACCAATAATAAGCACTTAATTTTTGTTTCTATATCTTTAGCTACTTTGGTGAATTCACTAAGTCTAAAAAGTTTTGTTGTTTAAGTCTGAGATTTTCTAGATAGTTGATTATATTTTCTGCAAATGCATTTTTCTAATTTTTAATAACAGCTCTTTCTTTATCGTGTCTTATTTCATTAGCTAATAACGGTTGTAGGCATCCTTGTTTCCTTCTTGACTGTCATGGGAAATAAGTATGATGGCTGCTGAAGTTTCTAGTAGATGACCTTTATCAAATTAAGGAAATTTCCTTTTTTCTTAGTTTCCTAAAAATTCTCTTCCTACTTGCCCCGCAAAGGATAGGTTTTGAATTTATCCACTGAGTTTTTGAAGATTTAGGAAATAATCATAATTTTTCATTTATCTGTTAATTTTAATGGGGGGAATGATGCTAAGATATTTTCTAATGTTCTCATATTGAATGTTACCCTTCAATAACTGGTGTAAAACCTATTTATGAATATTCTTTTAACACTGATTTACTAATTTGTTTAGGATTTATTATCTACGCTCATAAATGAGATTGACTTAGTTTTCTTATGCTATTTATGTCTAGTTTTAGAGACCATGAGGATAGCCTTATAAAATGAGTTAAGTAGCTTTTCATGTTTTCCTGTCTTATGGACCAGTTTATGTAATGTGAGAATCATCTGTTCATTAAAGATTTGATAGACTCTCCTATAAAACTATGTGCATATTTTCAAGTGTTTTTACTGCCTTTACAGTTTCTTCTTTAGTTATACCCTGTTCATGTTCCATAGCTTTATATTAAATTTATATTTCCTTGGGAAAATCATTCAGTTTCCCTAGATTTCAAAAAATTTCTTGTATGTAAAGCTATGTGTTTTATTTAGCAGGAGTGTGTGTGTGTGTGTGAGTATCTTCCTAGGTGTGACCACTTTTAGTATTTTCTTTGGGGTAAGGGGGTGTATTATTCTTGATTAGATTACCAAAGAACCTTTTTTTTTTTTTAAACTAGGCTCTAGTGGTATTGAGCATTGTTTTTACTGTTTAATTAATTGCCACTTTTAAATTTAGTTTTTAAAATTCTACCTAATTTAGATTTATTTTGTACCTTTTCTTGCTTCTTGAGTTGACCTCAGCATTAAATACA